GGGGGGAGGGGGGAAATGCACGGGACTATGGTGGTGGCACAGGGGTGATTTGGTGATGGGAAACCCGCGGGGATTACAATCGAGATGGAAAAAAAAATGTGCAAAATGATGTAAAAATAAACTTTGTAATAAAAAAAAAAACCCCAAAAATATACATCTGCGTTGATGTAAAGGATTGTATTCAAGCCTAGGTTTTCATGTCTCTGGGGTAAATGCCCCAAGTGCAATTGCAAGATTCTAAGTGTGTTTGGTTTCACAGGAAGCAGCTGGTCTCCTCCTGGGTGCAAGTGCTATTTTACACTCCCACCACCAGTGGGTTACTGGTCTAGTTCCTCTGCGTATGGCCAATGATTAGTATTTTACTGTTTTTATTTTAACCATTTGATAGATATGTGTAGTGATAGCCCACTGTAATTTTAATTTTCATTTTGTAGTTACTAATGATGAAGATATTTTAATGATGTCTTTATGTCCTTTGTCAGTATTTTAATTGGATCCTTTACTTCTTACTCTAGTTTTGACAGTCCTTTATATATTGAAGTAGAAGTCCTTTGCTGGGTGTAAGGTTTACAAATATTTCCTTTCAATTTTAATTTGTCTTTTCATCCGCTCACCAAGTCTTTTGCAAAGCAAAAGTATTTCATTTCATTGAAGCCCAACTTATTAATTTTTTTCTTTTATGAGTTCTATCAAGTCTGATGGTATCAAGTCTAGGAACTCCACCTAGCCATAGGTCCCAAAGATTTTCTCATGTTTAACCCTGTAAGTTTTAATCATTTTATATTTTATAATTAAGTCCATTTGGTTCATTTGAGATGATTTTGTGAAAAAGAAATATGAAGTTTAGGTTAATCCTTGTTCATTTTGCTTGTTTTGATATCAAATTGCTCCAACATCATTTGCTAAAAAGTTCAAAATTGCCCATTAATTACTTTGGTGTGTTCACCTAAAATCAGACCATTATAAACCAGAGATATCTGACAGAGGAGAGGGAGGGAGAGGGATCAGAAGGAGGGAGGGAGGGATGTGGGGGACTGTAGTGATGATGCAGGTGAATTGGGGAAGAGAAAAGTAAACGTTGTTTTCAAATGAACAACGGTGTAAATAGATCTATCAATTAATTAACAAAATAAAATCAGTTGGGTTAATTTGTGTGGGTTTAGTTCTGTTCTTTATTCTGTTCAATTGTTTTATATTTATATTACGTTTGTCCCTCCATCAATACACGCTGCCTTGATTACAACAGGTTTATTATGTCTTAACATCAAGTGGAGTTACTCCTCACATATTATTGTTCTTTTGCAATATTGTTATTTTATTTATTTTAGGATTTATGCCTTTCTATGTAAATTTAATGTAACTTATTTGAGACATGATGTATTTACTACTCTCAGTTTTATAATCCATGAGTAGATGATAATGGTATGCTGATATAGTCATTTAAGTCCTGGATATTTTTAGAATCAAGATTGTGTCCTTTTCAACAAATATATCCTAAAAACATTTTATTAAA